TACCCCACACTGCGAGAATTTGCTTCGTTTTATTAACAAAATTAAATGGTACTAGGAACTCTGACATGATTGTTTCCGAGAGCAGCAAAAGCCAACTTCTTAATTATAAACATTAATTGAAAATTTAATTAAAATAATTACAAAGGTAGACATAAAACAAAAGAATGTTTCAGGTTTCAATTGATTTAACTACTCGACAATGACAATTGTTTCTAATGATGATGGTTAACATGAATGAAGGCTCATAAAATTTTGAACCAGCTGTAAAATATGTGTGGTTTAAGTTGTATTACTTCCGGATAGTCGCAATGTCTAATGCCAAGCGTTATAGCAACATTGTTCTTGTTAAAAAAGAATTTCTCTTGACAGGGGTAAGATTTGTTGGCATGTAGATATTTATATAGTCATTCTTAAACAATATTCAAAGGTAAAACTAATGGAAAAATACATAAAAATATTGAGAAACTTACGTATATAAAACATTATTTAAATATCTTTATCAATAGGGTAGGTTAGGTTAGGTTATCGGGTTTTGTTCAAGTGTCCACCCTCTTTCGATCCCCCACCTCCACCCGCTTGAAAATATTTTTTTATTGAATTTTATTTGAATTATAGTGTATGAAAATTGTCAAAACAATCAACTTTCAACCCCCAAACTTTTCATGGGGGTGAGACCGCCGCAAATTTTTTATGAGGTTTTACTTAGGTGACCACCCTCTTTCGATCCCCCATTTAGGTCAGATCATTAAAAGCTTATGAAAAATACAAACGAAATNTGCATTCTTTATCAGTTGAAAAATGTATACTATCGCGTGTTATTGGCAGATAAATTCTTACAAAACTCATTCATAAAACATTGTTTTTTAAAAGTAGATAGGTGTTATTGTAAACATAATGAATTTCACCGGATACAGAACATCATTTACAACGAATTCTTAATAGAGGTAGACGTTGGAGATAACAAAATAATCACCTTCCTGTCTCAATACGGCGGTGTTGGCCGAAATGGAAAAAGCAACCAAATTCGAAATAAACACACTTGAATAGCAACATCCTTTTCATTGTCTGAATTTTAATGTATGTATTATAATGGATGAAAACCTGAATTCCTTCACGTTTCATTTTTCTTTTTAAATTGACTACAATAAAAATCAGGGTATACATGTATGTATACTACCATTTTTGTTCTTCTTAAATATATACCTAACGTATATCTATCTGCCCGTTTCATTGTATAGGTAAGTCACAAAATCAATTAATATGGGAAGTTAATAAAATCATTATTTAATTGTTGCCAATGTCAAAATTATTCTAAATTGTTCTTTAAATGAGCAAAATGTAGGATTTTATATATTATAGGGAAATGTCGGAACATTACATAACCCGTTTCGGAAAGATTAATAAAAAATTAAATTGCAACAATAACTAACTCAATTTTTTCATAATAAAACTATTGCAGTTTACATTTATCATTATTAATCAGTAAGTTCAGGTTCTAATGTATGATTATGTAATGATGGGATTGGTCCATATTTATTAGTGGTGCAAGCTAATATATGATTATTTTCAGAAACTCGGAAAATAGGAAATGGAATGATTAACAAGAGATTTACGGATTAGCTTACCCCCAGTTGTATATGACAGGTCAGTAATTACCACAAGTATTCTGATGCACTAGGATCATGGCAGACACAAATTTAAATTTTGTTACGGTAGGTATACACGCATATTTTCTGTGTATGTTCAGCAAAATTTGATCCTTGTACAGGAGCAGGACGATAGCTGGGTGTAGAGCTCGCGGTTGCCACGGTGACGACCGTGAAAGCGTAGGTCTAGGACAGCCTCCCGCCTACGTACCCTGCGAAAAGCGCCTACCACGGGGATTCCCATTTCAATAAAGACGGCACCCATGGTTGCTTAGGGTGGTTCCGTTTAATAATTATTTTAACATACTTACTACCCATCCTAGGAACTCACGTGTCCAAACTTTAATCATTGTAAAAGTGGTCACCGCTGAAATTATGTCATCCCCATGATAATTGTGTTATTAGATCACTTTGCAAGGCACGGCAGAGGTGGTTGCACCAGGCGACTAAACGAAACATGCTAATTCCTGTAATTAATTTACTGGAAGATTCTCGGTATACGCATCCACCTATGTGACACCCTTTGGATTTTTGAAAATTCCTACAGGTATTGATTGATTGACATTCGTATTCGTTCCCTAATATTTATCAACATTTATCCTTGAAGAAGCTTTAACACCATAAAGCGAACGTTAGCTATATATTAAATAAAACTGTTTCACCCTTTAAATTGATTGATGCGTTCTAGAAAATTTGATTAGGTAGATAACTGTTCTAAAGTATAAATTTAAAGTTTAAATATTTAATACGCATTTTAAAGCGCCTTTACGAAATCACTTGTTTTCCTTCATTCTGAGAAAACAAAAGTTTTCCCAAAGTCCATCAAAATGTGACAAATGTGTCCTGTATTTACGTATTTAACAATTTTACTGAAAATCTCTATAAATAATTGTTGTATTTACCATTCCTTTGGTCTTTACAATTTATTATGTGTTTACTTAATACTGATATCGTTTAATTTTTATGAACAAATTCTACAGCAGTCAAACTTTCATTTTTGAGCTTTAATATGACAGTTGGGCTGCCCAATTTAATTTTCTACTTGGAAAGTAGAAAATTGAAAATAACAGACTATATTTCACATTGATCCTGATTATGTCCTTGTAAGGTAAAATCTGTATATTAAGAATTTTTAACAAAATTTATTTTATATAAATGCTACTATTGGTTAACAAAAGGAACGCTTTTTTGCTCTAGTAACATAAAAAAATCACCCTGTATGCATTTATTTGTTTATGCAATTCAATGTGCCGCTTATACTTTGCAGTGTAGTAAATACACTTGCGAAGGATATGTAAAGGATGGAGCAAATTGTATGAAGAACCTGCCCTGTTGCCTCGCAGGGGCCCATAATTAAAATCGCTTTATAATTATGCGATACTTCAAAGAACAAACACCATAAATCTTATTTGGACATTGCGTTTTTTGTAATGACGTTTTGCAATTAACTTACAAATAGGTAGCCGAGCTCGTTAGTGAATCGCGCGAGAGCTTGATATTATATTATGAGTACAAGTAGCGATTTGAAATACGTACAAGGGTACGTCAAAAAAAATTAAAATACAGAGACACTGCTTGTGTGACTGATTCTGCAACACTATATCTACCAAGATTAATTTCTAATGTGTTATTAATTCATAAGATACAGTACAATTAACAACTCAGTCGGGAAGAAATTATAAAGAATGGAAAAAAAATAATTTTGCGCCATTAAAATCAATGAAAACCATTACATGAGATTATTATAAAATTTCTGCATATTTTGAGAACAAAGACAGAGCATCTTTTTTTATGCAAGTATGTATTATAGCGAGCACGAGCGTGTTTGTGTGCGATCGGGCATACGTGTGTGTGAGCGCCTTATCGATTTGCCGACTAGCCGCGGACGCCTTTCTTCATGTGCGCCGTATTTGTAAATATGTGTGTCGTACCTGCGTTTTCGGAAAGCAATTAAACAATTCAAAGAAAAAGAAACTTTTCCGGACAGCTCGAGAAGGTTCCCGAAAGGAAGCAAAAGAGTATTTGAAGGGAGAGACGATCGCCAGAGTAGAGTAGAAATAAACTGACCGTTGCAGAAGTGAATCGAGAAATAAATTGACAGCGCATAGAATAGTGATATAGTAACAGTACTGTAAATAAATAGAGTAATTCATCACTTAAGTTAGTAATAATTTAATAGTGTTTTTAAGTTTCTTAATAATTAGTGTAAATAAATAGTTTTTGTCGTTGTGAGTTTAAAAAGTTAATTTGTTAAAACCCACGAACAGTATTAAGTAAGGACATAACTGCGGGTAGGCATAAATCCATGAACTGAAAGTTCTGACCCATGTACAGGTCCATATATTAACGATACATCGTGAAATTTACAACTGAAACTACTGAACTTCATATAGCTTAACGCGAATATTTTTGTCCAAATAGAGAATTTTTGCGATTATTTTTGGTAAACATGGTATTTAGGTACAGCCTAAGAAAATTTTGCTTCCTGTTGAACAGATGATGGAAAATCGAATAGGAAATATAGGTACCATGCATGTAATGTGAGACATTTTTAACTCTTTCTAGTCCAGGTTGTTATACACATGTATACAAATAATATCACAGTGCTGAAGGCGTTTTGATTTAGGTGAAATTAAATATTATACTTGTGGTTTTACATTATCATTTGTACACAACTCTAGGCGTCTTGGGTTGTATCGGACTTAAACCACCCAAAAAAAAAGTCCTAAGTATTAAGCTTAAACTTGGAAATCGAAAATTTTTGTCGCGTATCTCTCCCATATTCAACAAAATTTTTGGTTTCACCTCGTACTCGAAAAATAAGACTTGATTAACCAAAGAAATATGAGCTCTCAACAGTGTAATTGAAAATTGAAAGGCGATATTGGGAAGACACGTTATAGTTTTCATGCTTTTAATAATATCATAAAAGTGAATGATTTGGTTAAGTATTTTCATTAAGTAAAATGTAATATTCCCTGAATTTTTCAACAGATCCATTTTGGATAATCGTCGCTTTTATGATTCAAGAATTAAACGATGGGCAAAGAATACAGTCTCGCAAAATCTAGTCAAAAAGTGATCTAATCTCTACAGTTGTGAGAGATACATGTTATGTCCGATTAGCCTTAATAAAATCATTAAAGAGTTTAGAGTTTTCTAGAATGGAAAAAAAGATATGAATAAGTGGTTTCTTCATCAATAAAATAAAAATATAAGTGGCGAAATAATTATGAAAAACCAAATTTAATCATTCGCAAGTAAGTGGAAATGATAAACAATTTACAGTGAGTGACGGCTAACAGATGGCTACAAGAATTTGAAATTCGGTTTTTATAAATTTCTACGGAAAAATTATCCCATGAACCAGAACTGTCTTTTAATGAATATGTATCATACCTATTACTGTTTTATATTTTTATGTATGTTTATATTGCTAATGATAGAAATTACCACATATTAAATATAACGATTTTTTAAAGTGAAAAATCGATAATGTGGACAGTTGTTTTTTTGCTATTTTTTTAGTAGTTGCCATAAGTGTTAATTTATAATTGGTTTAATACCAAATTAAAGTAAACGGGAGTGTAGCCAACGAATCTAGGTACGATTAGCAAATTATTATTGTTTATAGATTAATGCTAATTTTTTAATTTTTAAGTGACTACTTATAATATAGATAAATACATACGTAAATGTCACCATACATCTCGTATCTGTGAAAACAAATTATTCTCGTAAGCATAAATAATAATGGACATGCAACAGGTATCATGCGTAATCTACAGTTTATTGCCTTTTTATTATTATTGTTTTTGTTTAAATGCAAACTGTTGTTACTGTAATGCAGAAGTAGAAAGTATGCAAGTACGAAGTGATCATTCACAGGTATTCATTGATCTGAAAGTGAAGCATGCGCACGACGGCTTGCCTGTTTTTCATTCACGGTTATTAATTCCATTAATAGAAAATTTCCCTGATGCAACTTCTTGTCAGTATACTGTAAAAGCCATTTAAATGCACCTGACTGACTGAAGCTGATTACATTCATGTGATGTCTTAAGGAATTCCGAGTCACGGAAAACAATTTCTGTTACACGGTAAGTTAATTACACGGAGGTAATAAAAATGCCATAATTACCGATAAAATAAGAAAAAGACCCAATACAAGTTGAGTTAGCATAATTATAATCAACTACTTACTATACATTTCAAGATAAATTACAGTAGGCACCTGATCGAATGTTATTTGATTAAAATTATCGTGTCTGATTTCTGAGAGCAACTTAGACTGAGACAAACATCGTTCTAAAGCTGAAGGAGTAAATAACCGTGAGAATT